TTGCAGACCACCAGATCTAATACATTTATCAAATGTGAATTCAAACATTCCTGGAGGTCAAAGCCAAACAAATAATTACAGATGCCTCTAAATAAAAGGCAAATGAAAAGCACGTGAATGCCTTCGGGGAAGGAAACATAGCCTCTAGTCATTGTAAGTCTCTTGATCGCAAGGACAAGCCTTTTTTCTATTTTGTATTGCCCCATAGCTTCTCTCATAGAACCATGCTCCAGGTAAGGATTCAATAAATATTAGTTGAATATTTTCCCAAGAGTCTTCATTATCCTGGGGAATGGCCAGTTTGCGACCTGACCTTTGTAAACTTATAAGGGCAACTCGTTCAACGTACTATCAGTTGTTCAACCTGGAAGTTCTTGACTAATAATAACCGACAACTGACCCATTGTGGCCTTATACCCTAAATACCCACTACTTCTCAGACCTCCTTAATAATTAAATTTTATCTCATTGTACTTGTTGTCTTGAACTTAAACTCAAATTTCTCTCCCATCCATTTATGCTTTATTTTTTTTTTCCTGAGCATAACTCCTGCAAATGTTTTGAATAGTTTTGGCTCAGAAGTGCATATTCATTGACACAAGGTGGGTGTTGCAGGGGATCCAGCAGTTCTTCAAGTTTATTGGACCACATTCTTGGCTATGTATGTTCATAGGCAAGTCCATTTAGTTAGAGGCATGAAGAGGCCATGAAGAACTAATTATAGTGAAGACAAAGGCGGAGTGACACAGACAGCCACACACAATCCTGTTTGTTCAGGCTTTTCATTTCCCTGGACTGTTTTCAGGGTTGTTTCTGTGAAACGCAAGTCGAGTTTGGCTCAGAAGGTGCAGCTGGGGGAAGGCCCGCCATGCCGTGTCACTGTCCGCCTGCCATTCCCCGACAGGTGGAAGTGATACACCTGGCTCCTGGCCTTGACATATTTGTTCCCAGCTCCCAGGAATCTACCTTTGTATCCCCTACTGTCCCTTTCTTCTTCACTCTACCTGTGGCCCTCCCTCAGCCTGAGAGCTTATTCTGGCTATCAAAAGGTAATACCACTGCCAGCTTGGTTCTTCTCACCCAGGTGGCTAGAGGCCAAAGTTTCATCATGGAACTTTTCCCATAGATTCATAGTACCTCAGCACCTTCAAAGCTTTTGTAGTCTGAGTTGGGGGAATCGGGGAGAGCATCCAGGTATACAGCAGGTGCTACAATGAAAAGCTGCCTTTGTCTCCACTTATTAGCTAAATGAATTATGGCCTTTTAAGAGAACACAAGTGGAATTCTATAACGTTCTCATCTCCCTGACTATGGCAGCTACCTCTTCATGTGTATACTCAACTGTTGAATAACTCTTTCAGATAGTTTGTCATAGCTCTCTGTTCAGGAGCTGGTCCCCTATCACCTCTCTGTGACATGTAAACAGCTCACTGTTTAAACTCCTTGGCTTGGCTCTATCACAGCGGTTCTCAACCTGTGGGTCGCGACCCCTTTAGTGGTCGAACGACCCTTTCACAGGGGTCACCTAAGACCATCCTGCATATCAGATATTTACATTACGATTCATAACAGTAGCAACATTACAGTTATGAAGTAGCAACGAAAATAATTTTATGGTTGGGTCACAACATGAGGAACTGTATTTAAAGGGCCAGAAGGTTGAGAACCACTGCCTATCAAGACTACAAAAGATGTAACAATTTGAAAGAACTTCACAATCAATAAGTCTATTTCCCTGAAAAAACAGCAGCTTGAAACCCAGAGAGGTGAAGTGACTTGTTCAAGGTCACACAGCTGTAAATGGCAAAACTTTTAGGGGAATAGAGGGAAGAGGTCAGCCTCCCAGCCTGTGTGTGTGTGTGTGTGTGTGTGTGTGTGTGTGTGTGTGTGTACAATGATATACAATTATCATTGAGGCTTCGATGCTTGTGTTTTTACTGACAATATAACCAACTGGTTAAGTCTATAGACTTTGGGGTCAGAGAGGCTGTCATTGGCCCAGATGTCATTCATTAGCTGTCTATACATTTGGACAAGTTGCTGAACCTCTCTGATCTTCAAAGTGCTCATCAGTGAGATGGAGTTATAGCTTTCTTGAAAAAAAAATATTGTGGTGACATTGGTAAGAATAAGAAACTGCTGAGGATAATAATGATCATTAAAATTATTCTACAATGTTCACATAACACTGCTGTCATCCAGGATGATGTGTTATCTCCCCTCACCTCTCCTTTCTCTCCCAACTGCTTGCAACCTTTCTCCTCTTTGCCTTTGATTATGCCACACTCTCTTTTTCTACACATTCAGTTCCTCATCTTCTCAATATCTCTGCCACTCCCCCTTGTGTCTCCATTGCCTTGCTCACTTCCTACATCATTCAGTAAAACCCCCTTCAGCCAAAATCTCTGAACGAGCATCATAGGAAGTCAATGGAGAAGATACCTATTGGTAGGTAGTTTGTCACCTGTGACAATTGCATGTCTAACCCAATTAGATGTACATTCCACTTCTTATTCCCAGACTCTGATATGAGACATCTACCTCTGAGCCTCCGGGGATGTTGCCCTCTTCTCCATCAAGGTGGGATGTCTCTGGCACACGGATTATGGAGCCATTCCCAATGGCTAATGGCCTTGCAGCTGTGCGGGCTTTTGGTGCTCTTCCCAAGACAGTGGAAGAGCCTCCAGCTAGCTTGTCTCTTCTTGTCTCCTCCTCTCTGTAGCTATTACCTTACTTTTCCTTTTAGATCAAGCAGCAGCATTCTTTCTTCTTGGTATCCTGGATCTATTCCTACTCACCATGTCCACGTGGACAAAATGTCTGAGTGGAGATGGCCGCCCCAGCTTGGTCAGACCACATGTGGCTCATTGTCCTACACACACAAGTCCCCTCGTGGCCGGCAGGGGGAACTGTGGAAACGGCAGCTTTACTGCATCTTGCAGGTTGGAAAAGGAATGATAGAAACATCTTTTATAACCTTCTCTGAACTTACCTGGTATTTCGAAGAACGTAACTTTTGCCCGGCAGAACAAATGCATGAATGTAAAAGAGGAGACCTTACTTTGGCTTCTCTATCACTGAGGCCACTCTGTCCCAGGTTTGCATGGCAAGTATTTTCCATTTGAACCCAATCCTAGATTCTTACTATCAAAGAAAATTTATATTAAAAAAAAATCAGTGATCTTTTATTAATTGCGTAGACAGGCGTGGACAGCCATTGCCTCCCTAATCCCTCTTAGGCTCCTTATTTCATCTTTGGGGCGCACTCTCCCAGTGACACATCTGAGAGTGTCCTCCTGTTTGATGTCTGACACATCGCTGCTAACGAGGCATCAGAAAAATGTAAGAGCTTTCCTTGTGCTGCCCCTCCCCCTTCAGTTCTTAATCTTCCAACTACTCTCTTTTCTATCTTAGGCACTAAATTTAGTTTTCATATCTTTCCATTTTTCCTTTTGGTATACTGTTATCATTTTTTTGTCAGTGCAAAACCATTTTTATTATCCACAAACCTCCTCCACTTAAAACAAAATTCAACGTTCTTATCAGGCAACCAGATACCATGTGTGTCTGTTGTGACACAATACGTCCTCTATGATGTCTTCAAGCCAGAAATGTTTAACTTGAATCCTTTAAGCCTTTAGCTGCTGGTAAACATTTCTGAGTTAGTGTCGTAAAACACAGTGGGTGGGGTCAGGTGCTGGATGAGAAGAGAGGGAAGGGACAGAACAACCAGATGCAACGTGTTATCCTGGATTGGAACTGGTCTGAACCGCTCATCTCTTACGGACATTTTAGCAAACTTAAAACTAGATTAGGAACTAGATAAAATAAAAGTTTGCTGTTATGGAAAGGCAGAGATTAGTAAATAAAAAAGTAGATTACAATATAGCATGTGTAATGTTATCTGATGTTGAATTAAAAATACACACGTATTTTAATACACACATATATGTTTATATATGCACATACAGATGATATTCATAAAAATATCTGTAAGCATATACATGCCTTGTGTTTTATTTTTATTATGGATCTATGTTTTCTAACTTTCTATAAGACATTCTTTTGCAATAATTATATGAATTAATTGGTCAATTAATTATGAAAGTAAGAAATTTTATTAGTAATGATGTGGTAACATGCACTGCTTTTGGTAAGACATCAAAGACTTGTGAAGACTTTAATAAACTGATAATTCAATTATCTTCATTATTGTGATTTTTAAGCATCCGAGGATGATAATTCTTCTGGAACTTATTGCTACCATTGGCCCCTTAATTAATATTGTTGAATATTCACACCACTGATTAAAGAGGAGTAAAAAATATACCAAGTGGTAAAAAATAACCCGAATCCTGATGACTGAAACTTTATTGTCATTCACACAATCTCTCCTTTTGTTAAAACAAACTACTGCATCTTTTTCACCCACACATCTACTGATGGACGCTTGGCTGCTTTCAAATCTTGGCTATTGGAAATGCTGCTGCAGTGAACATAGGGGTGCATATGTTCTTCTGAGTTAGTGTTTTGAGTTTCTTTGGCTATATTTCCAGAAGTGGAATCACTGGGTCATAAGGCAGTTCTATTTTTAATTTTTTAAGGCAGCTCCATAGTGTTTTCCACAGTGGCTGCACCAATGTGCATTTCCACCAACAGTTCCGGGGGGTCCTCTTTTCTCCACATCCGCACCAGCACTTGTTTTGTTGATTTATCCATGGTAGCCATGCTGACAGGTGTGAGGTGATAGCTCATTGTGGTTCTAATGTGCATGTCTCTGATGATTAGTGATGTTGAGCATCTTTTCATATGTCTATTGGCCATCTGTATGTCCTTTTGGGAGAAATGTCTATTCAGGTCCTTTGCCAATTTTTAATTGGGTTTTTTATTTTACTTTATTTTTGTTGTTGAGTTCTATAAGTTCTTTATAAATTTTGGAAACTCGGTTGTGAAAAAGAAGGAAATATTGCATTTTGCAACAGCATGGATGGACCTGGAGAGTATTATGCTAAGTGAAATAAGCCAATCACAGGAAGACAATACCCTATGATTTCATGTATATGAGGAATCTAATGAACAAAATAAACTGACGAAATAGAAACAGACTCATAGATACAGAGAACAAATTGACAGCTGTTAGAGGGGAGGGGGTTTGGGGGATGGATGGAAAAGGTGAAGGGATTAAGCAAAAACAAAACAAAATAGAGGGGAGGGGGTTTGGGGGATAGGTGGAAAAGGTGAAGGGATTAAGCAAAAACAAAACAAAACAAACAACCCACCAAACCAACTTATAGACAAAGACAATAGTATGGTGATTACCAAAGGGAAAGAGGGTGGGGGAGGTAAAAGAGAGTAGAGGGAGAATAAATGGGTGGTGAATACACAAAACAATATACAGAAGATGTAATATAGTAGTATACACTTGAAGCCTATGTAATTTTATTAACCAATGTCACCTCAATAAATTCAATAAAAATTTTAAAAATATATATTTAGAGCAAAAAGCCCTAAGGAAGCTATCTGGTTACCTGAGGGGGAAAAAAGCACAGAAAGTGATGACTTTTAAATGACAGAAGGCTGAACTCTTTTAAAAAAAATATTTTTATTGATTTCAGAGAGGAAGGGGAGGGGGAGAGAGATGGAAACATCAACGATGAGAGAGAATCATTGATTAGCTGCCTCTTGCACACCCTCCATCCCCACTGGGAATCGAGCCCACAACTTGGACATGTGCCCCTGACCAGACTCGAACCTGGTACCTTTCAGTCCCCAGGCCAATGCTCTATCCACAGAGCCACACCAGCTGGGGCGCCTGAGATGATTTTATTTGTCCTAAGGGTGCTGCAGGCTCTGGGCTGGTTTTGACTGGGACCCCCAGGCGAAGCCAAGAGGGAGGTCCTGGAATTTGGGCTGAACTCTTGATTTTCAAACTTAGGCTATACATTCCTTAGGTTTAAAGGAATAAAAAACTAGGTAGATACCATAGTCTCAGCCCTAACTGATGAGTTACAATCAATAATGATCTCATCTGTCTCATTCAGTGGACTTTTTTTACATACAGAATCATATGCATTTCTCTATTACACCGTGCCACATTTATCTCATCATGTTAAACCAGGGGATTATCATTATTATCTAAAAGCCATGAAGGCCATTGCTTCCTTCACATTTGTCCTAGATTCTAGAAACAGCAAGGAGTTAAGGCACATGGCAATCAATGGTTATGTTTAAAAATAGTTACTAATTGTAATAGGCTTTTATTCAGAAAAGAAGAATATAAAGACAGCCACTCACCAAATGAAAATTATCTTAGTTTCCATGAAGTATTTTTTTCCCCTCAAAAAAATACTTAGAGTTGGGTTATGGGCTTCCTGCCTTGGTAGGTTCCACTTCTTTGAGTCACTTTGCTGTTTCTAATATCTTTCACTAATCACAGTCACAGAAATGACAGGCCCAAACTGGACAGCTGTTTCTTGAAAATAAAATGTCTGATGGCAAAAACGATTGCCTTTGCCAATGAAAAAGCAAAGGCATCTGTATTTCTCAACGAAAAGGGGCTGTTCCTTGGTTTTTCGGATCCTTTGTAGTTTTAGGCCACATTTAGATGAATCTGTTTTGTGAAAATACTGAATTTTCCAGTGAAACTGGTTAAGTATTAGCCTTTTGTCAGGCACAAATAACAGAATCACGACATGTTCAAAGTTCCATCCAAGATGCTTAGTGTAACAATAATGTAGTCTGTTTCATTTTCCTTAAATTCCGAGGGAAACAAGATACTACAGTCTGATTGTTTGGAACAGCTTTGAAGCCAGAAAGAACCTTCATTACTACTCATTTGTTTCTGTAGTGAAGGTTGACATGTTTCAGGAGATGTGGTAGTGCAAAGAAAGTGGCAATTGGAGTGACCAAATACCACTGTAGAGAGCATACCCAGGAGCAATCAAGGACCACATATGTAAAGAGAAATGTGATTTCAGTTTTATAAAAGAGAAAGGTTAGACTATTCTACCTTTAAATTAAGAGTAAGAAACATATGAATTTAAAAGCACTATAAATCATCATCATCATCATCATCATCATCATCATCATCATCACAATGGACTCGTTTTTTCCATTCATCATCATCATCATCATCATCATCATCATCATCATCATCATCATCATCATCATCATCATCATCATCATCATCATCATCATCATCATCATCATCATCATCATCATCATCATCATCATCATCATCATCATCATCATCATCATCATCATCATCATCATCATCATCATCA